GGGGGGGGGGAAGGGAGGGAGAGGGAGACAGACAGATAGACAGACAGACAGATGATAGAGAGAAAGAATGAAAGAGAGAGAATGGCAGGTAGGTGGCGAGAGGGAGGGAGAGAGACAGACAGACAGAAAATGGATGGATGGATGGTTGAATAGATGAATGGATGGAATCTTCTTGGGACTGCTGAAAAGGACTGTCATCTAAAAGGAGATATGTGGTGTCATCTCTCTCTCCCTCTGTTGAGATAGACCTTTTGAATCTTAATGTAGATGGCCTCCTTGACCCCTCTTTCAAACCAGCGATCCTCTCTGTCCAGAATGTGGACTTTCATCCTCCACCATCCAGCCAGAAGCTTCTTGGATGAAAAATAAGGAAAGTCCAGTTGCTTCTCCAAAAAAAAGCATCTTTGGGACAACCATGACCTGGATGACTTGAGAATCTCCATAGACATTCATCTATGAGATTGTGTCATTATTTGGGTCATCATTCACCACCCCTCCCAGACAACCTCATCATGAAAGGTTCTGATTACTTACTGTCTAAACTGCTCATCATAGAAACTGGTTCATTGTCACCTAAAAAGACAACACAATGCAATCACGTTGAGATAACTTCATTTAATAACAAGAAACATATCATGCAAATGAGAGCTCTCTACTGCCTTGTTCCGTGACAAACATTCAAGAATCCCTCCTTTCATCAATACAGGTAGTCCTTGACTTATGACCACAATTCAGCCCAACATTTCTGTTGTTAAGCGAGACATTGGTTAAGTGAGTTTTGCCCCATTTTATGACCTTTCTTGCCACACTGGTTAAGTGAATTATTGCAGTCGTTAAGTGGATCTAGCTTCCCCATCGACTCTGCTTGTTGGAAAAGGTCGCAAAAGGAGACCCCTGGTGATTGTCATAAATCTGAGTCAGTTACCAAGCACCTGAATTTTGTTGACGTGACCATGGGGAAGTTGTAATGGCCATGTGTGGGGTAAAAAATGGCCATAAGTCACTTTTTTTTCAGTGCCGTTGCCACTTTGAATGGTGACTAAATGAAGTGTTGTAAGTCAAGGACTGCCTGTCTTTGGACAAACATTTACTGAGAAGAACAATCTGATTTGTTTTGTTTTTTTGGTTTTGTTTTAATTTGGTTTGTCAATTGCTTACAAGATAATAGGTATAAGTAAAAACATAGTTATGAATAAGAAAAATAAAAGGAACAATAGGACAGGGACTGTAAGCACATTGGTGTGCTTATGCATGCCCCCTACAGACCTCTTAGGAAAGGGGTGAGGTCAACAGTAGAAAGTCTAAGGTTAAAGTTTTTGGGGTTTGGGGAAGAAACCACAGAGTCAGGTAGAATATTCCAGACATTGACCACTCTGTTGCTGAAGTCGTAATTCCTGCATCCTCCTTCATCAGTGCCCAAACCATTTCGAATGACACTGTTGCAACTATTGCATCTCTGACTACTAGAAATCTCTTAAATAATCCCACAACACTTTAATTTCTCCTTTTCAGATTATCAAGTTTAGATCCTTCCTACTATAATGTCAATCATGAAGATTACCGGAGGAGTAACTGTTGGCGCAGTGGTTAGAATGCAGTATTGCAGGCTAACTCTGCCCACAGCCAGCAGTTCAATCCTGACTAGCTCAAGGTTGACTTCCCTCTTTCCAAGGTCGGTAAAATGAGGACCCAGACTGTTGGGGACAATAGGCTGACTCTGTAAACTGCTTAGAGAGAGCTGTAAAGCACTGTGAAGCAGTATATAAGTCTTAGTGCTATGGCTATCTCTGCCAAAGTGGCTCAGTTGTTAGAATGCAGTATTGCAGGACACTTCTGCTGACTGCCAGCTGTCAGCAGTTTGATTCTCACTGGTTCAATGTTGACTCAGCCTTCCATCATTCTGAGGTTGGTAAAATGAGGGCCCTTATTGTTGGGACAATACACTGATTCTGTAAACCGTTTAGAGGGGGCTGTGAAGCGGTATATAAGTCTTAGTGTTCTTGCTATCTCCGCTGCAGTGGCGCAGTGGTTAGAATGCAGCATTGCGGGCAAACTCTGCCTGCTGCCAGCAGTTCGATCCTGACTAGCTCAAGGTTGACTCAGCCTTCCATTCTTCCGAGGTCGGTAAAATGAGGACCCGATTGTTAGGGGCCATATGGTGACTTTGTAAACAGCTTAGAGAGGGCTGCAAAGCAGTGTGTAGTGGTATATAAGTCTAAGGGCTGTTGCTAAATTACTAGCTGCTCAGCTGTTTCTCCCCAGTGGACAATCTCAGAATGTGAATATTTTAAACTCCCTCATGGAGAATCTCAGAATGTGAAGGGGGATTTGCACAACAAATAGCAGTATTGTTTGTCCAGAGCCACTTCAAACAGCAGTGATGTCAAAATAACCACAACATGATGTCACAACACAAATGCTTGCTTATTTTCGTCCTTGTCTTATGTCGATCAACAACCACTAGGCATAATTCTTATCATTGCAATGCCTTTTAATTAGGCGATTCCAGCTCCTTCGGAGTGACCCAAATACATACATCTAGATATACGACAGTAGTCCCAAGGCATTTTAGGATTGCTGGTGTAGCACCAAGGGCCGTGAGCATCGTCATCTGGATTGCGACAGTAATTTTTCTTCACCTTGCTTATATCTAGGTCTTTATATATAGGGAGGTGCCTAGAAGGGGAACGAAAAAACACACACACAGCCCTAAGATCCCCACTTTTTCAGAAGCATACACGTTATTGCAGAAATGTATACCGTATAATCCTAACCGTGGGAGAAAGAACTGGGAGGCAGTGTGAAAAGATGAATCAACCTAGAATCTCAACGTAGCTGCAAGTGAACAAAGTCCAACCTCTCCTTGAATTTGATTGGCCTTTATTTAACTCGGGTTCAGACAGTTAGTTGAGAAGATTCCTAGGCATAGGCTATTTGGCAACCATCAATTTAATTGGAATAATTAAAATAATGTTAATGTCCCACCTCCTCTTAATTTTTAACTTTTTAAAAAATATCTACTGCTTTATATTTTAGCATTTTATGGTATACCATCCACAGTCGTTCTTTGAGAAATGTGGAAAATTAGACAGACAGACAGACAGACTGCCAGATAGATAGATAATGATAGATAGATGGATGGACGGACAGACAGACAGACAGATAGAAGAGAGGGAGGGGGAGAGAGAGATGACAAAACTGCCAATGATAGCTAAATAAATGGTTCTTGTGAAAAAATGTATGTCAGGCATAAAGAATCAGGTCCATTCATAGGGTTGCAGCATAGAAGATTTCTTCAAGCTTATACACAAGAATCTGGTCAGCTAAAATTCAATACTAAATTGGTGCCAGATAAGGGTCAACAGGATCCAAGATTCAAAGTTGGACTTGGAGCACATGTGGAAGCGCCATAACCCTAAACTGCTGACATTCTTCACTCCACCCTCAGCTCTGCCTGCCTCTTCTCTTACAATTTACCTACAATTGGAAGCCTTTTATGGACTTTTGCCAGGAAATAAGAAAAGTCAATTTATAACATAATGGAGTTGATGATTGTTAAAATTTAGGTGGGAAAAGATTTTCCCTCTTTTGGGGGGGAAATAGACAGTGTATTGCATGTTAAACTAAGAGCTGAAGGTGTTTCTTATATCCTTGGAAGAAGAAGTTGGAAGTAACTCTTTGTATATATTTTTGTTTTCCTTTCTTCTTTATATCTTACTGCCCTTCTATTTCTACCTCTCCTTTTCCTCTTTATCTCTCTTCCTGGTTATTAGTTTATTCTAGTTTTCATTCATACATTTTTTTAAAAAATTACTAGAATTATTATGAAAACAGGAGTATACATGTTATCTAATTCACAATGTGGTTATTCAATGAACCTGGTTGGGTTTTGAGACAATCTTAAATAAAAACATGATGCAAATCTATTTGTAAACCCAAGAACCGCAGAAGCCAGAGAAATGTCAGAGGAAAATTAGGACAGAAGAAATAGAAATCAAGAGTGACAAAACAAGCCACTTGTTGTATAACCATGAACTTTAAAAATATCTATTGAAATGCAGATGTGCACACATTTTGTGCTCTTTGAGATGGAAAGCAATAAATAGCAAAATCCTTCCCCACAAATAAAAACCACTTTAAATTAAACGCTTCTACCAAATAACCCTGCAGAAGAAATTTATGATGTCACTTCTCACATTTGAGGCCAAGATGTTATGATTGGGGGGAAAATGCATGTGTCTTAGAAGTGAGTGTGTCTTGGTGTGAGTGTGGTGAAAGAATTGTGAGTTGGCTTTCATAAGTGTACTGGAGAAACTCACAAAAGAACATTGTGTATTCAAAAGTGAATTTATGTAAAGGTCAGCCCAGCTGATCATCACATGAGGAAGGAATAGCTTTGTGCCAACCACATTCAAGAAGATGGTTGCATTTAATTCAGAGAAACCTGGATTCCAACAAAGCTAGTTCTGAAATAAATCTGGACCAATCCCTGTCTCTTAATCCTGGCTTGTCACAGAGGAATGATCAAATAGGATGTAGGAATCTCACCTGCTTTAGCTTCCTTGCAGAAATGCTAAACTTTACTGCAATAAGCAAGCCAGGTGTGATACACAGCCTTGATTTAAAAAGATTCACCTATGAAATCTGACTCAAAAGAGGAAATGCAGCATGGTGGATTCTAAAGTTCTTGCAATGTTTTAATGCTCCTTATTGTTCTCATTGTTTTACATTGCTTTTTAAGATTGCAATTTTAATACGTGTTTCTGAATTGTGAGCTGCCCTGGGTTTTTTGCTGAGATGGGTGGCTATAGAAATCAAATATAGATAGATAATAGATGACAGACAGACAGACAGACAGATATGATATGATAGAGATAGATAGAGATAGATAGATAGATAGAGACAGACAGACAGACAGACAGACAGATAGATGATAGAGACAGAGAGAGAAAGAAAGAGCGACAGATAGATGGATGATAGATAGATAGATAGATAGATAGATAGATAGATAGATAATAGACAGATAGATAGATAGATAGATGATAGACAGACAGACAGACAGATGATAGACAAACAGATAGATGAGAGAGAGAAAGAGATAGATAGATAGATAGATAGATAGATAGATAGATAGATAGATAGATAGATAGATAGATAGATGGATGGATGGATGGATGGATGGATGGATGGATGGATGGATGGAT